GTTTGACGTTTTAAGATTGTTTTAAGATTTATGCTGATAACGCTTGATTTCCAGGACAGTCAACAGCTGAGTTTGAGCTGATGTTTAATAGTAGAAAGTCATCAAAATCACAGGCTTTCAACTAGCAGAATTTGTGCTACTTGTTATAAATCATAAATCTGTTAAGAATTAGAGAGTGAATTACAGTGCTAATAGTCATGCGAAGCTTATGGCGCTTAACGTCACCTGTCGAGGTGGAAGGTTATGTTTTCAAGGGGCGGTAGTATGAGTTTTGTATCTCTAGTCTTGTTGTAAGCAATGACGTCATGCAGCAACATTACCGATATTTGTGTTAGAATAACAAAAAACAACTTGATAATCTTCAAGTGCTACAAGTTCTTAATAAAAGAGCAAGTGTCTGCAGCGGAACTCTTGTACTGTTCCAAATTTTCTCAATCTGCTAACCTTTCAAAAAGCTTTCTTCAGTTAAACTTGCAAGAGAAAGAAGGTGCCCGTCGAAATACTTCTGACAGCGTAACTCCATAGCATAAAAGCCTTCTCCGTGTTCTGCCTGAAGTATTATTAATTGATCAAAATCAATTGCTGATGACATTTAACAGCTCTTTTAAGTCATAATTATTCGTCTGGTACGCAATACTAAAAGAGCTGTATATTAAAGCAATAACCAATACTTGACAAGCAGAGTTAAGGAAGAAGTTTTGGGAAGTTCAGAAACGTGAGTCTCAATTTGTTCTCGTGGTTCAGTACCTACCTCCCTCTTCATTTCCCGCTATTGTACTGTATAAAAATTTCTGAATTAATACAAAAAAAGTTTTGCTTTATATGAAGCTATAAAAATGAATATTTTGAATTATATCTGATATCAGCAATAGTATTTGTATATGAATTTTGTCTAGTCTGAAAATAAAAGAATAATAAACCTTTTCAGTTCTTTATCTTTATCTTTACAGATCGTTTTTTATGTTACTGGCAAAAGCAAAAACTCTTAGTATTCTAAAATATACTAACGGTGCCTTTATCACCCCTCGTGGGGGGTTCTTTTTTTAGGGTCTTTCACCCCTCGTAACAATACTTTCTCCTTCTCAATCTATGTTTCACTGAGTCAAAAGTTATGTACTTTCAGGTCTATAAAATGGTATCTTGTCTTTTCTCCGTTTTTCCTGAATTTCCGACTTATAACAGGTACTTCATAAAATCTGTTCAGTTTTGTTAGGACCTAATAAAGACATAATTAAGTCTAGAATTAATTTTGCTGATAAAAATTAAGAAAAATGTGGTCGATATACAAATGAGTTGATAATCTTCCACATCACAAAAAAGCAAATCCTTCTAGAAATCGAAAAAATGAGTTAAAAGTATTTAACGTGTTCAAATCTAAAAAACATTTCTAAGGTTTTTATGCACCTTCTTTAACCGCAAAAAGAGTTTTTAGATAATGAGAATCTCAGCAAAACCAAAGTTGGTGATAGAATAATTGCACACGACGATAGTCAAACGCAGATCATAATCTTCTGCTGACGAATATCTAGTTTCGCCATTTAAATCAATCTTTGACCTGCATCGACTGACGCTGCATGGTGTTTCTATCATGAAGCAAAACCCATTTTTATCACAGATATTTTGATTAAGTTAAGCTAAAATTAGTATACTGTCATGTTACCTAGAAGGTATCATTCATAGTATTATTTGCTTAATGCTCTATGTACTGATCATTTTATGTTGCAGCAACTTCTCCAGCTTTTATCCTGCCTGCGGTCAGTAAACCATTAAAAAAATTCATAATGTGAAATTTTTTTTTTTTTGGTGTATGCTGCAGAAAAAACCTTAGAGGTAGCAGTTTGATGGTCTAGAATAGTGGTCATTTACAGTCTACTTTTGTCTTAAAACACTTTTTCTGAAAGTAATTACTTGTCATTCAGTCAAACCAAATTTTCGTGACTCTATCTCTTATCGTGAATTCGTTCTTTTTTCGCCATTCTTTTTTTCATTTGGTAATCAGAAAAACCTACTTCTTCATCAGTAAAAAATTAAAACACGTTGAAAAAAACCGTTTTTTGGTTAATCTAAAAAGAACCGAAAATATCGACAATTAGTACACCCTAGAAGAAACGCAAGAAACTTGCTTTAAAACTTCCTTAGCTAAGTTTTTGAGAAAAAAAAGCAAAACACTGTAAAAAAGACTAAGTTTCAGTCTAAAAGCAGTTAAAACCGTACAAATTCAATAAAAAAATCACATTTTCTACTTTTTTTAGAAAAAAAAATTCTGGTTTTTCACTATGTAAAAGATGGAGTAATTGCTGTTTTGTTCCTACAGCTTCAATATAGTAATGCAACACTCAGGTACAGGTAAATCTACCATTCCTCATAAACCGCCCCTCTTTTTTAAAACTACATTAAGATTTTAAAAAAATAGAAAGCTAATGTAGTATTAAATAAAATTAAAATAAACGCTAAATTCATATAAGAAATGTAATCAATGTAACAAATATGCAGTAAAAAACCTCAGTTTTGTAGATACACTGATATTCGGTTTCGTTATTCTCTGTTTTCTCTATTAAAACGGGTGCAGCAGTAATTGATCGAAAATTTGTGTGGCATTCTCCAATTTCTCCTAAAAGACAAATTAAAAAAAGTTTTACTTAAAAAAAATTATTTGACATTAAATCTGCTTTTTTTTCTTTTTTTTTTTGTTAATTTTTGACAATTTTATTAAAGAAAGATTTCTAATCAGTAACATTTAAAACTTTTTAATTGTATAAGTAGGCCTGAAAAGAGTATACTATAAAAAACAGAGGTTACTTACTGAAAGTTATATTATCATCAGATACCTGTATGCTCTGAAACGTACAGTAACCGTCAAGACCAGATAAAACCTTTTTTTTTGTTTTGCATACAAAAATCAGATTTTGGTTTCTGTCATTTATCAATCATTTCAAAAGCAAAATACTTCAAAGAAGATGAAAGTTTCAGTTCTATAGAAGAATTGTATACAATAAAACTGACCTGACGACCGCTCTTTATTGTTACAAATTGGTTATACCTTGTAGAATCTGTATCACTCGGTTCCGAAGAATTGTACAGCAGATGACCGTAAGACTGAACAAATATTTTGCGTTTGAAAGCGTCTAAAAAGAAAGTTTAATCTCGGTAGTTTTTGTTCATTCTGATGTACTGTCTTTTTTTACCCATGAACATTTAATGAATATAAAAATTATTTTTCATTTCTTTGCTTTTCAAAAATTGCAAATTATCCAAGTGCAAAAAAAAAAAAAAGAAAAAAAAAAAATTGAAAAAAAGCAGCTGCAAATCAATCGTTCGGTACATTTTCTTTTTGCGCTTCTGTAAAACTGAGATCACTGACAAAAATACAAAGAACATTAGACAAAGAGAACTGTCTTTTTTTCTTTTTTGTATGAAAAAGAAACGTTTGAAATGGCAAACCTCTGAGTGATAGGAAAACAACAAAAGCGATAAACTTTATCAGTTGCATAGTGATAAAGTGATGCTATAATTGCTGCAAAATCTTTTTATGTACACTTTTTATATAATGAGTTTCCTCCAAAATCTATTTCTTCCATGCGCGTTCTCAAAAAGTTCGTTGACAACCGCTTTGTTTGAATAAGTTTTCTCAAAATTTTAATCATTTTTACAGCATCAGTGAGCGATTTCGACAATTATTTCCGTTTAGCTTCTAACATTCATCGCATATTAACAATTTGCTCGTCGGGTAACGATAAATGCTTGCAAGAACAAGTTATAATTTTGCTTAAAATGATTTCTCTCTTTTATTATATACAAACTTTTAAAAACATAATGTAAAAGATTGATAATTTTAGTTTCAACGTAAAAATTGAAAAATTTTAGACAATATTTTGGCCAAATGTGACTCGAAAAAGTGATTTCTGACCAGGAAATTTGTCAAATAGAAATTTAAAGCCTATTTTTTTTTTTCGTACTAATTCTTAACGATTGTAATACGTAGATAGAAAACTTAGAATTAAAGTACATGTAAAACCAAAACTAAAACGTGAGCACATCAGCCGATAAACACTTTTCCAGGCAGCGTTTCGACTGTTGTCAAAAAAGTTAGCCCTATGTATTCCCGCCAATGGGAAAAACTGAACATTATTAACCCCTTTCAGTGGTGTACATACACATATACGTATTTATTCTGCTCTATATCAGCAGTTTTACCGCGGAAATTTTCAAAAACATTACACTTTTTGTAACTTGCAATTTCAGAGGGTGCAAACTACGGCTTAGGAAATAGTGCATCACCACATTGGTCAGGTGATTAATGTTCTAGAAAGGTCTCGACCTTTCCAGTTTGTTGAATTTATCAAAGCTCAGGTAACGGTAGACTGTGACTAGACAAATCAATATCTTTTTGCTTATATACATAAATTGCTGTATAAAATTTTTATTGAATGCAATTTTATGATACAGTTTTGCAATAAGCGTATTAAAGCAATGCAAACTTTTTGTAATAGAATTTTGAACAGAAAAGACACGGAAATTCTGTTTTTTAGTCTCATTTAAAAAATTACTTGAAAGACAAGCTGATAAATTAGCCAAATATCTATTGCAGAACAAATTAATGTACGGTAGAAGTTTTGTTTGATTTCTGAGAAAGTGGTCAGTTAATTAATTAGTCATTGAGTGTAGTTAATCATCTAATGCTGCTGTATTATGTGCTCAATTTCACGTGGGCAAGGGAGTAGGAGTAGCAGCAAGATCCCGTTGACAGTTGCTGGCTGTTCACTGAAATCCATTTGTGAAACCATTTTGCAGGATTTGTTTGCTGTTTATATACGTAAACGTTTTGCTTCGGATGAGAATGATGATGGTGATGATGATGATGATGATGATGATGATGATGATACAGTGACAGACGGAGAAGCGAAAAAAGTTGTTGACATTAACCTGTCATTCAGAAACGGTTGATAACAACAATTACTTAGATTGTAAGAATTTTCGTTTCGATAAGTATCATTTAGCAGGTTTTTTTTGCCTCTTTTTTTTTGTTTTTGTTATTGAACAATAAAACAGAAACTGTTACAGAAATTTTGGATCAAAAAGAAAAAAAAACAGCTATCACCTAGTAACAATTGCCTGGAACAAGCATCATTTTACACCTAATGGAAACTTTGGTATTTGTTTACCGCAACAGGATGATACATTTAAAAATTACTCTACTTTCAAAGACGGCGGTAAAGCCAAAAATAAATGACAAACTTATTGGTAATTTAATGCAAATAAACCATGATTAGTTAAAATTCAAGAAAATAGCTGCATGAATAAGATGGTTGTTTCTTTTTGTCTAATTTTTATTTCACCAACATTGTGATGAATATTTTTACCACTGTTGAATTCTATGGGTTTAAAGAAAATGAAAGATAAATGAAAGAAAGACAAAAAAAAAAAGCTCAGGTTTAGTAGAGTTCTAGCTATCACACTTACATCAACGCCATAGACTAGGTGTATAGAGTAAAAAAAAAAAAAAAAAAAAAAAGGGTAAAAGAACAGAGCAGTTAAATTATCACTGTCAATAATTTTGTCTATATTTAGTGACAAGGACAAAAAATTGCCAAACCGTAGCCATTACCCCCCAAACATTTAGTGGATTTTTTTTTTTTTTTTTTTTGAAGTGTACAGTAAGCTGTTGATAATTTGACAATTGGTCTAATTGCTTTTTCATTCAGCAGTATCAAAAATAATCAGCTAATATGATGGTGATAATGTTGCTATGTTCTTTCTTTTTTTTTCCTACTCTTTTTTTGCTTTTTTAAATTTATTTTTATCTCGGTATCTAAGATTATTTATTTGCTGAAGAAAATTTTCGGCTGTTTCTTCTTGTAGCAAAGTTTTTGAAACGTTCGTTTGGCTGCTGTATCGTAGCAAACTACTTCTGTAAATGATCAAAAATTAATATAAGTTTCTTCATTTCTTTATCTTCCTTTACTTTTGCTT